ATGGTTCTCACAAATAACAGCAATGCACACAGCGCCAGGTCTGTGACATCTTTCCTAGACAGGACAGTGCCCTGGTTCATGCCTCTCCCACCCCATGGGCCACCTTTTCTGTGGGCAGCAAAGCCCTGAGCACCACGTGGAGCGTCCACTTCTCCGGGCATCCCCAGCACGTTTGTCCTGGCCTCACAGTTCATAGAGCACATTCCCACAAACTGTCACATTCTCTCGTTTCCTCCTACCCACAACCCCATGAGCTAGTCACTTGGGCTCATTTTACAGATGACAGAATGTGCTCAGAAAAATCAAGTCATTTTTCCACAGCCCAAATGTCCGTGAACAAACTCACATGAACTTCTCTGCTTCCGGCGCTGTCGTTCACACACACAAACTCAACACCCTCCTCTGTGGGCAGGGACTTAAATCCCCACGTGGACCAGGGATGCATGAGGACAGAGAAGAGACCATGTGTGGACAGATGGAAAGGGCGGCCACCTGCAAGCTATGGAGCAAAGCCTCAGAGGAAACCAACCCTGCCACACCTTGGTCTCAGACTTCCAGGCTCCAGAACTGTGAGCAAATACATTTCTGTTGTTTAAGGCTTAAAAAAAAAATCATCCCCACCTGACTGTGACCTGCCCAGAGAGCACCAGGCTGTCCCCAGGAGCTCACTCATGCTTCCTCGTTGGCTTACTCTGGGCACCAGAGTCTCATTTGAAATAGTTCTGTAGTATCTACAAAAACACCTCAAATGGTTTTAAACTCCCAAACATCATGTGGACAAGAAAAGCATAGCTAGGAACGGCTGCAGCCACACAGTTGAGTGGACGTCTAGTCAGTCACTGGCTATAAATACCTATGGTGGCTTCTGATATTAAGTCCCACCTCCTGTTCACCATTACTCTTAGGAAGTACAGATAAGAGGATGGTCTCTGTGCTCATTGTGACCAAATTTCTTTTCCTCGATTGCTGCATTCGGCTGTTCCTCTCCTGTCTGTCTGTGCTGTCCTCCTTGTCTATCCCGGGATGCTCCTGGGTGCTTTTCCTAGGCCTTTGCCAACATACTTGCTCGAGGTTCTGAGCCTGAGCAGTTAGAGAAGTTTGGTCAACCCCATTTGATATCAAAATGCTTGTTGCTCACACGTCTTGCGGTGAGAGGGAGACAGCTCTTTCTACTGACCCTAGGGTTTTACGTCTCGGTTGATTCTGGAAGCTCATGTTCTCCGGCCAGCTGTGCTTGTGCTATAGAGAGTGGACAGATGCTCTGTATCTCACTCCTTTCCAAGAAAACATCGGCTCCAAGATAAAAATGAATTCCTTGGTGCACATAAGCAAGGACGCCATGACACTGTTTCTGTCCATGTTCTTTTTGATGACAGTAGGCTGGCTTTCACGGTTTTCCTATTTTATCTCCAGTAATGTATGGGCTCACTGTGTGTACAGGGGACAGATCCTTGCTGGCATCTTCACTTGAGTTGGAAGAGGAATGGGCACCTGTGGAGTCCTCCAGCATGGGCCTGGGTCTCTCTGGGCGCAGGGTCTTCCTTTCCATCCTCTAGTCTTTGCACAGCCTGAGGACACCAGGGTGGGGACAGAATGAAGGGGAACAGGCAACACAGCTCCCGTCTGCACTCAGCCCTTGTATTTATCTTTCTGTGTCTCTTTTTTGCCTCTTTAAGGAAAAAACAAAAAAACAAAAACACAATACCTGTTCAGATGTAATTGGCACATAATAAACACGCACAGTCAAAGTGCACCCTTTGACAAGTTTTGGCATGTGTAGACACCCATGCATCAGCACCACGATCAAGTGAACATATCCGTCCCCCTCAGGAGGTCCCCAAGCCATTTGTAATCTTCCCCTCGTCCCCTGGCAACCACTGGTCTGCTTTCTGTCACTGTAGATTCACTTGCAGTTTCTAGAATTTTATATAAATGAAATTGTACAGTATGTAGCTAAAAAAAAACCCAGTTTGTTGAGATATAATTTATATATAATAAAATTCTCTTGTTTTAAGCATACATGTTTTTCAGGGCTCCCCAGAGAAACAAAACCAACAGAGTGTGTCTGTGTGTGTGTGTGTGTGCGTGTGTATTTAATTTATTAAACGTAAGTTTATTGTAAAGAATGGCTCCCATAATGGTGGGGGCTGGCCAGTCTGAAACCTTTAGGTCAGGCCAGCAGGCTGGACACTCAGGCAGGAGTTGAAACTACAGTCTTGAGACAGAATTTCTCCTGGAAACCACAGTGTTTGCTCTTAAGGCCTTCAACTGATTGAATGAGGCTCACCCAGATTATTGAGGGTCATCTCCTTTACTTAAAGTCAACTGATTGTAGATGAACCACAACTACAAAATACTTCACAGCAACAGCTGGATTAGTATGGGATTTAGTAAGCCGGTGCTATGGCCTAGCCGAGTTGACACACAAAACTCACTCACTGCAGCACGGTTTAATAGTTTTAGTCTACTTTCTAAAGTGCCACCATCATCACAATCTAATTTTAGAATAGTTCCATTGTCCCAGGATTTTAAACATTTTTCCCTTTTTATGTCTCTTTTTTGCCATGAAGGTCATCAGAGAGAAAGGGACTAGATACCTCTCTAGTTGAATTCTTCAGTTCTTCTAACAAATTTTAGCAAGGCTTTTGCATCATTGCCTACTGATTATCTATTATTTATCAATATTCTGGAACTGAAAAACAATCACTCTCTCACAGGGTCTGATTCCTTGATTCACATTCAAGAACTAACTGCTGCTGATACATATCAAGTCCTGCTCTCCTCTGTGTTTAGAGGGGTCATTTTGTTTCATTCTTACCACATCCCTTTGAGGTAAGGAGGAGTTGGCCCATTTTGCAGAACAGGGAGTAGAGTCTCAGAGAAGCCAAGAAAATAATCCTTTCGATTCTAAGTCCTTCCATGGCAGCCCTGCTGCTTGCTTCAGACATCCCCTGCACCATGGGCTTTAAAGAGCCTGACTCAGTACCACATGCATGTGACTAAGCCTTGCCAGGGTGAAGGAATGCCTCGTGAAGGTCCCAAGTGCAGGGAGCTTGGCTGGGATGTGAGAATCGTAACATTTCCACCATGCTTGAGAAAGGACACCACAAAAAAGCAATAGCATTTATGTAGTTTCCTTTGTTATCATTGTTGGAATCCTTAGTTTTTAGAAAACCAGGTTAGAATGTGCTGGCAAGCGTATCCTTCCCAGATTTATTCCCTCTCGTGTTTCTCCTGCCAACACAGTGCTCGAAGATGCAGAAGCAGCCCAGCGCCTCTACGTGACACCTAGAGCATTTTGCCTATGGCTTCGTGTCTCCTTCGTTCCTTCCCCACCTCCTCCAACTGCTGCTTCTGCCACCCCATGAATGTCAAGGTGAGGCTGCATGTGCTGCTGGCATTTCCCAAGAGCTGACGCCTTCCATCATGTCTCCTGAGCTCTCACAAAGGAACAACCCCCCCTGTCCTTTCCCTATGATTCAACATAGAAGAAAAAGCCTGATGCATGAGAATTTCTTTGGTCTTCTGGACACCCTCCTCTACTACTGACCAATCCTACAAAACCTAAAGAAAGGGCCAATTTTGTAAAATTCTCATTATGCAGGAAGAGATTTCTTTTTGGTTTCCCTGCAAAGCCAGGCATAAGTTTCCCAGAATAGCTGGTTATTTTCTGTGCCCACCTGTTGCATACTCAGTGAATTCAGGGAAGTTATAAATTCTTGGGCCTCTGCTCATATGTGCAAATATAAGGACAGCAGAGACAAGAAGCAGTTGCTTTAAGTTCCCAAAAATAAGATCGTAAAGTTACCAGAGCATCACTTAGTAGGTGATTTTTGCAGCTTGTGCCATGGAAATCTGTATGTCCTGGATTTTCCAGGACAATCCCAATTTCAGATATATTTATACTTGTCAAGTCATAAGTTCTGATTGTTGGCTTACAAAATATGATCACTTTAGTTATAGGTAAGCTTGTGCTATGTGAGGTCATTGTAGCAACTGATTTTTCTTGGATGGCATCAAATGTGACTGAGTTCTACCAAACTGTATACTAAATGAGTCATATTGAGACGATACAGTGCAGTTACCAGGTGGTTCTGCTAATAATTAGAAACACACTTCTATATTTCTTGGGACCAAGGAAAGGAAAACATCACCGGGAAAATGTTACATGTGGGGACAATTATTTAATAGGCCCTTGGCTGGGATTTGTGGATATGAACAAAATTCAGAGGTAAAAATGAAATACTGGAATAATACATGGAGATTTCTTTTATTGATGCAGAATTACAGAACACAAGAATTAACATGCAGCCAAGTCTTGCTTATTCAAGGAATGATGACCCAATTTGTAAATTACCAAATCATTTCCTCCCCTTTTCCATTCCCATAGTCAGTGCTCCTCAAATTTGAGTAATATATTTAGAAATTAAGAATTTATAATTAAGAAAAAATAACAAAAAATTCTTAAAGGGCCATAGTGTTTCTTAATTTGTTTATATCATACAAATGTTCCTTGACTTACAATGTTTCAACACAATCTTTTGACTTTAGGATGGTGCAAAAGTGACGCATATTCAATAGACTCCCCACTTGTGATGGGGTCGTGTCCAGAAAACCCATTGTAAATGGAAAATATCATAAGTAGAAGACACACTTTTGACTTAAGATATTTTCAACTTAAGATGGGCTTATCAGGACATAACCCCATTGTAAGTCAAGGAGCATCTGTAATTGTGTTAAAATTTTCACAAAACTAAACTTTAAGATCAAATTCTCATGCTATTACATATGCTTGTTTTCATAAAAATAATTCACAAACTAAAAACAATCAAAACCACAAAATCAATAAATTCAATATTAACAATATTAATTTACAGTGATGGATGATGTTGTTTTGCTGAAATAACACAGGAACGTGCAATATTCCTATGTGACCAGGAGCAGAGGAGAACCAAGTATTAGAAATCAGTGTTGGGGATTCACAACTCCCAACTCCCCCGTCAGTCCTCACACTCCTCGTGCAGAGGTCTGTGAACCTGGCTTGAGGAACACTGCTTTTGTCTACGTGGAGTTGATTTCTTCTTCCATTCCCGTATTGCAAGATCTGCCCAGGCAAGGAGACAATGTGAAACCAAAATGGGTCAGCTACGCTTCTCATTGGTAAAACGTTGTTGCTAGAGGGAATGTAGGGTTATTTGTAGATTTCAATGAGATAAACTTCTGACCTCCTTTCATTGGTTTCTCAGTGCCATGGCTATCAGAGGATTATCTGTTATGCCTGCCTACTGCACAGGACTGATGGTAGCATGGCAGGCAGACACATGCCTTTTCCAAAGACTCCCACATTGATTTTCAAATGACAGAAACACATCTATTAGGACAGCCTTACATGGATGCACTTGGAGGAGCAGCCAGCTCATGTATTGTGATGTAAATGATGCTGTTCTATACTCAGCACTTACATCTTCTAACTGTTTCACAAACACAGACTAATTCATAATCCCATTTTCAGTGCTGCCAGGGAGGAGTTGTAAGGAAGGAGTGATGGGTGACTTTCCAGATAAACACGTTTATTTTTATCCCAGGCTAAAGGGAAAGAAACAAGAATGGGTAGAGCTGACCTCTTATTAGGTCTGCCACTTTTGCATTTATTATTTTATTTAAGCCTCACAACAATCTTGGAAGAAAAACATCTTGGCATAAAGGTTTCTTTGACTGCCATTTTTACAGATGGGGAAATTGCAGCTAGGAAAGAGAACTTTCTGATAATTGTACAGTTATGGTAAGGGGTGGAGGTGGGACTTGAACTCAGGCCTGCCAGTTTCCAATGCTCACACTCATCCTGCTACACCACAGTACAGACAATGGCAGTTTAGCATTTTTACCGTATTACTCATTGCCGTTATTATTATCAGTGAGTGTTGTTACTATTTAATGACCCTAATGTTTAAAATTTATGTAGTTCCCTTTGAGGCACTTAGCGTTCTATGCAATATTCTGCTCTTGCTCAGTTCAGAAGTGGTAAATATTTGAATTTGGTATTAAAAGTCATTTTGGTCTCATTCCTGTTATAAAAGCAATTTTCCATGGGTTCAAACAAACATATCTGCAAAAATCTGGAATTGAAAACAATGCTTACTTTGTCTTCAGAAGTCATAGCCACGATGCACCAGATGTTCTAGTCTATGACAAAAAATTCTTGTTAACTTTTAATGGAAGAAAACATAGATGGGTGGTCAGGACACATGGTTTATCCTTTTTTATCCTCACTTACCAAGAACTGGGACTGTGGCTTCTCCTGAGTGAACCACTCCCTCCCCAGCACGCTGAGTACTTGAGAACTATTTTCTGGGCATGGCGCCTATTGTTCTACCCTAATTTTTACTGTTGGATCAAAGGGTTTCCATGGCCAAATAATGATCCCATTGCTACTCACTCTGTCAACCATAAACCAACTGGAGTGAACCCCGTGGCTGACCACCTCCCTTCTTAGCACCTGTTGGATAAGCGGCTGGGCCACTGAGAGGAAGATGTTAACTGATCCCAGGCAGGACCAGGTGCTGATGTTCTGCTCTTTCAAAGATGATGAGCCAAGAATGCTGAGCTTTGGAGCTTTTGCCTCCTTGTACTGGCAAGTGGAAAAGCTGGGCTTCAAACTGAGTCTGTAGGACCCTAAAAACCCATGCTGAAGCTTTGTTGTTGAATTTACTGAGCCTCTATCACTATAGGCTTTGTACGTATCCATTCAACTGTTAAAATGTTCTTTTTAAATTTAATTTTTTTAACGGACACATTGCAATTGTACACATTTATGGAGTACAATTTGATGTTTCAGGTGTTAATTTTTTATTGAGTGCCTGTTTGTACCAAGTCCTATTTTAGGAGCTGGGAATACAGCAGTGAAGTAGCAGGACTCCCACCCCATTCAATCTTCACTGAGCTTACATTCTCTAAGGTGCACATATTTTTTCATTTAATCCTAATAACTATGTATATATGCGTGTGTATGTATACACACATATACGTATATACACATGTATGTAGTTGTTATGGTCTTTGTTTTGCACTTGAGAAGACTAAGACTCAATGAGATAATTTATTCAAGATTACATAGCTAAGAAGGGTAGAACTTGAATTTGAATCCAGACCTTTAAATCCCAGATATTTCCATTTTATCACACTGTGTTCTGTTCATAAAATTTATGGAAAATAAGACTTTGCTCTTCAAAGCAGGATCAGTTTTAGGGGAATAACCAAAAGATACTCCTTTCAATACTACCAATGGTGTGACAGTTCATGTGCCATTTCAACAGATTTCCAAGAGCCAGGAAGTGAATCCCTTTTTGTGTATTGTTCATTATAACAAATTCTAATTGGAAAATCACTTCTGTTGCTTTGGAAATTACCCATATCTTATTATTTGAGTTTGGCAAAATCCAATGGAGAAAGTGAAGAAGGGAGCCACTGAGCTGGGCCACAGAGCTGGTTATGAAGGATAATCTGCAAGGTCAAAGGTAAGCTGGTATGTGTTGGTAGAATGAAGGTATTTATAGCACAAGGTAGTTCTCCTTTTTTCTTGCATTACCATGGTGCAATGCAGAGAGTACAAAGGCATCCAGACTAAAATGCCATTGTAAGACCTTTTCCACCAATTTCCTCTCAGAATCACTCAAAAGAAAATAGAGAAAGGAGAAAGAGGAGCATGAATTTTATCTTTGATGAAACTAGGTCACCTCAAATTACCATTTACGAGAAAGGGATGGGAGTGGCAGTGGAAATCACACAGGAACATGTAAAGACTGCAAAAGAACGCTTCACTGCTAATGTCAGACAAAGCTAGGGGGACACAAGGGGACTGTCTCGAGGGCCCGAACAAACAGCCTCTGTTTGAAACAATTGGAACGAGCGTGTGGTTTGATTGCAGACATATCTCTAGACCCCATTTGGCAGAGAGATAAGCACAGGAGGCAGAACTGAAGGAGAGCATTACCCAGACAAGCCAGGTGTGTAAGAAGCTGTCAGTCGGTGAGGAAGAACAGTCTGAATTGTGAGGAACTGCACAAATGATGGTTTATTTTGCCCAACAAGAAGTGAAATCTAAAAGCAGTCAATCTCTCTCTCCTTTTCTCTCTCTTTTTCTCTCCCTCTGTCCTTTCTCATAAAGACACACACACACATCTCTAAAATAAAAACTCCTGCTAACCTGGTACATAACCCTAGACCCTTCCCTCTCAAATTTCTGGCAAATAGCTGATCCAGAAAAAACTCACTTCAATCAAAGATGAATATTATCAAAAAGGTATCAAAATATGATTTATATACATATAATAGGATGGGGAAAAGGGAGGGGAAAAGATAGGGGAAGAGCACTCACCAGAAAAAAAAGTTTTCATGGAGTTGATGGTAATTCTGATCAAGCTCATTTCCATAACAATACTAACAGGAAAAGAACACTTTCTCTAGAAAACAGTAGCTCACACAGAGATGCAATAGTTCAATGAAAATAAGCAATACCATAGAAAAGAGTGGGCTATCAGCTGGCACAGCTTATGAAAATAGTGAGAGAAAAAAATAAAACCATTTGAGAAATTAAAGCCACATTAGAAGGAACATAAAGAAGAAGAGAGAAAAACGGCCATACACATGTACCAAGAGTTAAGAGTGATTAGAGAAAACGTGATAGGTATGTATGATGGAGACTAGAGATCCAACATAGGTATAACTGGTGTCTCTGGCAAGAAGAACCAGGATGAAGGAACAGAGAATGTATTTTAATGTTGTAATTAAAGAAAAGTTTCCAGAAATAAAAGAAGGCTTGAATCTATACATCGAAAGAGAACACTATCCCAGGGGAAATAAATGACACAGAACAATCAACACCAAGACATATCCTGGTAAAGATACTGGGCTCTGAATGTAAAGAAAGACTCCTTTGGGCAGACAGACAAAAAGATCAAATCACTTCTAAATAGAGTGGCCATGGGATAGTTCCAGATTACATCTGTTTTCTAGGCAGGGATGATTATTTATTGTATCCTTCTTCCCGCTCAAAAAGTGTCATGATTTATACAATAAATTACAGGATTGTCTTGCTTATATAACTGGAATAACAGAGGGGCATAAGAAACAAAGGCTTGGCCTCAGACATGTCCACAGCAACATTCAACACTAGAAGATAGCTAAAAATCATCAAAAGCAAAAAACCCTATGAAGTCCTCAAATAAAGTGTAACTGCAGAAATTTAATACTCAGCCAAACAGCCATTCAAATAAAAATAGAGCAATCTTTTTTCAATATCCATGAACCAAGAAGCATAATTCTCCCAAGTCCTTCTTAAATAAACTGCTGGAAAACAATTTTCAGCTAAGCACAAAGGGAAAGGAGAAATGGTAGCAGATGTGTCCCAATTTAAAGTCATTCTTGAGGTAAGGGAGGAATTGGCAAAGGGCCACAAAAACTGATTATATTCTATAATGCGGAATATACTAATTATCCTGATTTGAGCATCATATATTGCACGTGTATTAATATTCAATGCCGTGCCCCACAGATATGTACAATCAACTATGTTCCAATAAAAAAATAAAATAAATAAAAATGAAATAAAATCATTCTCTCTTTCCATTCCCCCAACATATGCCCCTCTGTATTTCCTACTTCATCTACAAAATCTGATTGTCTAACTAGCAAAGTGCGAGTTATCCTAGTTGCCCCCTCCTCCTTACTTTGACATCTAACTAGTCAATAAGTCCTGCCAAACCATAAAGCTTTCTCTCAAATCTTTCTTCTCCTTCCCATCTTTATTGCCAAGCCCCAGTTCAGGTATGAGTCATTCTCATCTGGGCTATTGCAATCGTCTCCTAATTGCAGGAGCAATTTAAAAACATTTAACAATCGGTATGGCACAGGTGACCAGTCAGAATAGATACAAGTCACAAACAGTGGTCCAGCACACTGGTGCTTATCAGCTGTCTTTTGGCCCTTGCCTAATTGGCCTCTTTGCCTCCAATACCTACTGTCTCTAATCCATAATCCACACTACAGTTATCTTGATTTTTCTAAAACACAGAGTTGATCATGTCACTCCTTGACATAAGTTCCTTT